GCTGCCGCGCATCTGTGTCGCCTGACCCTAGGGGGCTCGCCGGAGCCCGGCGGGCTCCGGAGGGTTCGCAACTCCCTGCCTCTGTGAGGCCAGATGTTAGGCTGGCCGACGGAGCCGCCCAGTGCCGACCCAATCACAGCGCAGCGTGCGGGGCCCCGAGTTGACGCCTCTCTCCCTATGAGTCTCTCTAGGAGCGCCCGGGGTGGAGTGGGGGGGGGCAGGCGGGGAGGAGTACGGGCGCCTTTCCACCTTCCGTTTTTGTTCGTCTTGCTTCCTCTTCGCGCTCCATTGGAATACCCTATTCTACAAGCTGCGTTTAATAAACGGCCCAAAAATTTAGAGGGAGAATCAAAAGAATTTTGGAAAATTGTAGTATTTCGAGGAGGTGCACCTCCGGAAACATGCCTATCTTATCCTCAAGGGGGGCACTTCTGTTGTCTGGGGTCTGCACGAGTCTGCCTCAAAGGATGCGTTTCGGACTTGGGACAGTGGAAAAACTCGCGTATAATTGCACTTAAAACATCCGCTCCACTGGAAAAAGAAAGGTGTGAAGTAGTGTCTTTCTAGGGGTGGTTAAACTAGTTTCAGTTTAGTGCCTCTAATAAGGTAATGCATCCACTTAGAGGCCAAGCTGGGCGTGTTCCCGGAGGGGGTTCGCATCCGCGCTTAGCGCAATGTGTATAGTTATTAAATACCTAGTAGACATCAGTCGCATATGTTTTATGCGCCCTGGGTGGAAGGATCTGTACTTCACCGTCACCGTCAGTTAGAACTGTAGATATGGAACTGATGTCCAAGAACTAGTTTATAAAGAACTATAGTTGTTCGAAATAACTGGTAGTGTTTCGACAGATAAACTTCAGTTTTCTATAGTTCTATTGCAGTTTAAATATAGTTTTTGCATATAGTTAAAAGTGTAGATCCTTCCTCCCGCGGCAACTCTGGTTTTACATGATCATTTGTGAGAGGCTTAGTAAATGCACTCTGAAAGGGGACAAAGTGTTCAAAAAACAAATTGTTCCTTCCTTGGCTTGATATTTGTGTCAATTTCAATTTCTGCAACGGTTTTATTTCCATCTATAGACAATTTTTGTCCGCGTTTTTAGCCCGCCCTTCTGCTTTTAAAAAAGCATTATTAGCCCGCCCTTCTGCTTTTAAAAAAGCATTAAAGCGGGCTTATGCAACCGCTCTCGTGTCCGTCTGTCTGTCTGTCTGTCTGTCTGTCCGTCGTCCGTGTAAGAGGAAGGAGATGAGCTAGAGGTCTGCAAATTTCAGGGTATCTTAGGGGTCACTCCTGGACAACAAAACGCCTGGTGCAAATCCTAGCAACCACCCCTAAGGGGGTGAAAGGGGGTAACAAAGAAATGGGGGTTGGTCCAAACAGTAGAAAAAAAATATTTTTTTATGGTCTCCTAAGGGGTAACTCGTGAAAGTAGAGCCCTCTGGGCGAAAATTTTGCCCGTTTGACGCTAT